TTATTATTTCTTTTAATATATAACCTTTGTAATATTTTTCCATTGTCATTTAGTTCCTTATACTCCCCTCCCCTCAGCAATGTTGTCCATGTCCATGAATCCTTTTTCTTTTTCTTTCTTTTTTTTTTTTTGCTTAATCCCTCCACCCCTGTAATTTTTATTTTAAAAAAGCTATATTTGTTGCATTAGGTATTGAGAAAAGAAGAAGGTTGTGAGAACATCACAGAACTCATGATTCTTCCCATGTAGTGAGCATTCATGAAGCCTGGCACTGGCCTAGATTTTAAAAGGAGAGAAAAGAAAGGAATGTTTGACCATGGCCCTGACAATGTGGTGGATGGCAGGGGAAAGGCGTGAAAAAACGTGACCAGTACTGTGTGATTCTTGGCTAAAATAAGCAATCTCATTTAAAATCCTGTATTTGTTTAGAGCAAGTAAGCATTGTGTTATGGGAGACACCAGCATAATAAATGTGGTAGCTGAGTTGAATACGTACATGATTTGAAAAGAGGGAAGAGAAGAAAAAGAAGTTGCAAAATGGAAGAACCACACAAGCAGACTTGACACCAGAAGGGAAAAAGATTTATGAAGTCCCGTTCTTTAAAGATTGTATTATGACTTGCTGCCTACCTAACAGTTTATTGTTTTATATCTCTGAAAATATGATTGTGTTAAATGGAGAAAATTTAAAAAGGTTTTGGAAAAATTCACTATCATTGTGGCTCTTAAATGAAACTAAATGTAACCTGCTCATTTGTCTTATTTTAAACCTCCTTAAAAGAAAACCATCTAACAGTTCATTTGATAGCATTCATACTTCTTGGTGACTATCATTGTTTTCACATAAACATTTGCTCTGGCTCACCTCAAAATGTCCTAACCTGGGTCTTTAGAAGTTGTATATTTTCTGAGCTGGAAACCTCAGGACTTGTGCATGGCTTCTAAAGTGTAGAACCGAAATAATATTATAGTTTTAAAATTATTTTGCTTGTCTTAAACACACTTCACCATAGAGTACTTGAAAACTGTGCTGCACAGGATTGAAGAAAAACACACTTGTTTTGTCTCCTAAGTATTACCCTTTAAGAGGCCTGACAGGTGTCCAACCTTCTGGCATCTCTGCGCCACAGTAGAAGAATTGTCTTGAGCCACACATTAACTACATTGCAACATGTAATCATCAAAAATTCTCATCATGTTTTAAGCAAATTTATGACTTTGTGTTGGGCCTCATTCCCAGCTACCCTGGGCTGCATGCAGCCCACAGGCTGCAGGTTGGATACTCCTGCAGTCTGCGATAGTTTTTTCTTAGCGTTGCTTAGCATTTTCAATAGTAGTATGGCTGAAAGTACAATAGGCCCTCTTATTCACAGGAGTAAGTTCCAAGGCCCCCAGTGGATGCCTGAGAAACTCAGATAATACCAAACACTAACCACCTTCTTCGACTGGGTCTAAAATATGGCAGCAGCTTCTTCACTGGCAGATGCAGCCTCTGCAGTGATTTTCATATTTTTTCAGTTCAATCCCATTCCTGGATCTGTGTAACTCATCCTTTACTTTCAGTAAATGGCCTGGACACTTGTTTCCAAGGATCCCTTGCTGAAGTCATCTTCATATAAGCTTTCTGGGACATCTTCCTGTGCATCTCTGTTCTTGTCTTCCACAGATAATTTACTGCCTTTTCCATCTTAGCGAAGAACTTATCACATCCTGTGGCTGTAACTTTCACAGTTTCAGGTGCAACACCAAAACTAGCATGAATTCTTTTTCCTTCTTCACAATTTCATAGACAGAAGATTCATTCTTACCATAAATCTTAGCAACCTCAGCATACAATTATTTTTCTTTCCTTGAAGTCAAAAACTTCACCTTTTCACTTCAAGGAAGAACTTTCCAGTTCCTCCTCTTTGGCTTATCCGAATTCACTAGCATCACTATTCTTGCTCTCAGGGGCCATTGCTAAGTAAAATAAGGGTGACTTGAACACGCACTGTGATATTGTAACAATCTGACACCCGATGGCTACTGAGTGACTAACAGATGGAACAGCTACAGCGTGGACATTCCAGTCAGTCTCCAGATTTCATCCTGCACTCAGAATAGCATGCAATTTAAAACTTTCGTGAATTGTTTATTTTTGGAATTTCCCATTTAATATTTTCAGTCCACACTTGATATTTGGGAACTGAAGCTGCAGAAAGCAAAACTGCAGATAAGCAGGGGCTACTGTAGAGCATAATCTCAAAGTCAGTTGCCCTTTAAGTGCCATCAATAAAAAATGCTTTGTTCCATTTTGTCAAGCATCTTAATGTGTCTTTTATAACATGCATATAACCACTGAATTGGTACCCATATTCCGTAAACAGCATGAGGGCAGGGAGTGCAGAAACGTACACATACTGTCTTTTCTGGGGCCTTCCACCACAGGGTGGAATTTTATGAGTGGTGGAGGTATGCAGAAGAAACCTTTAGAAATCACATTTCCACTCTAAACTTTTAAGAACATCCTGAAATACAGTACTTTATGGGTACATGTAGTTCAAGGATAAATAGAGGAGTAATTTGCCATTTGTACCAAATTAAATCAGGCTTTCAGTTCAATCAAAACAGCTTGCAGCTGGATGCAATAATCTGATTTCCTGACACTCGGAGAAAAAATTGAAGCCCTCCACAAGCCCCTGCTGATCTCCAACATGAAATACCGTTGGCTGGCAATATCACTCAACCTCTAAATGCCTTCACATCTCAGAAGCTAAAAAAATGCAAATCAGGCAGGAGGGTAGCTGGAGTTGGCTCTCAGGTGGTGTTTTATTAAACTGGGGGAAATAACATAGCCCATGACTCGAAAGAATCATATTCTTGTTCTTTCTCAAAGCAGCTATTTTGTTAAATATGCCATTAGTTGAATCTCTGTATTAGTGTCCTGGGAGTACTGTTTTGACATTGGTTGTATGTTAAAAACATAATAAAAGGCTTCAGAGAACAAATTCCAGAATTCTGTTTGAATAACTTGCTATTTTCTTGGGTAGGTAATGAGGCAGATAAAGGTAAATCTTAAAGTATCCATTAACTGTTTGTTAATCAATATTGCGAGGATCCAAACTCACAGATATGTGTAGTCCTGGCACTTTAGTTCAATGTAGAACAATTGGTTTTCATCTTGAGCTTTTACTGATAAATGTAGGCCTTTCTGCACGTTTAATGAACTTTTTCTAGTGCCCTGGCACTAAATATTGCTGAATTAGGGACACAGGAGCACAAAGTGCTACACCTTTGAAAGAAAGCTTCTTGCATTTAAAGTGTGAAACTCCCTCTAGGGCTTATAATGGGGTTTTAAAACCTTGCTTCCTTTATCACACACCTTATCTTCTGAATAAGCACACAATTTAGGGGAGAGGCAGAGGATCCAAGGAGGTCATTGTTCAGATGAGGAGTTCTCAGCTTAGGGATTCTGGGATTTTCCCTCCCTTCATTTTGGGAGGAGAAGAATTGCTGGGCCTGTTTTCATTCAACACCCTGACAGTAGACAGATGGAACACTCAAATGGGGCAACTGAGGAGAGATTAATAAAAGGACCATTTACAAAGGTGTGAACAGAGTTACAGGAAGCGGCTTTAACCACAGTGGGAAGCTTTAATCACCACCACCCACTCAAGGAGATAGGAGAGGAAATGGTTCCTAGAACCCAGAGCTGGAGCTGAAGAGGAGGAGTGCAGCCTGCCAGGACTTCTGGTCTCCTGAAGAGGAAGCAGCCACTGGCAACTGGGAGCCCAGCAAGGAGTGGGTTAAGGAAATAAATACCACAGGATCTCTCTCCAACCTCTGATCTTGTACCAATGCTTCCATTTGGCCCAATCTAATCAGAAGCCAGTGAGCAAAAGAGCTCAGTCGAAGCTTCATGTAGAGAACAGCCTTCTAGTTGACCTGGAGCAGAGGAGAGAAGCTGGAAGTGAGTCTGGAGGGATGTACAGGAATATGCAGCCCACCAAGAAGGAGGCACTTCAGGAGACTCATTTATGAAGACCAGAGGGCTCTAGAAGGAGTCAGCGTGAGAAGTTATCCCCTGGCTGGGATCTTAGCAATTCCGCTGGTGGAAGATCAAAGGTGATGTGGCAAACTGATGTCCCCCCACCCCATACCTCTGCTCCCCTGAAATTCTTTGGGATAAACTCAGAGGGTAATGACGGGGAGGGGGAGAGGAGGGACATTAAATCAGATATAATGTTGATATAATATTGAAGTGTGAAACTATGTGGAATTATATTAGAGCTTCTACTAACTAAAAGTCAATAGGAAGCTTTAGGACCTGTTTAGGATGCCATTAAGGGAGATAAGAAATGGTAGTTCAACAGAGCGTGGTTGTAGTCAATGATTGTAAAAAGGCAAAATCATTAAATGTTTGTGCTATACTGAGTTAAGTCTCTTCAGTAAACTAGTTACATTGGAAAACTTGGAAATAATAGTGCACATGTACAATTTATATGACCGTTTATGAGCTTTGGTTTAATTGTGGCACCACTCTGAATGTGTAAACTGTATATTCTTGACTCTGATTTGCAGCTGAAAGACTGGGACCAACACTTCTTTGCCTAAAATGCTATCATGAAACTTTTATCCCTGTATTAAGAATGCTTCCTCTTACCTGGCTGGTGTAGCTCAGTGGATTGAGCGCAGGCCTGTGAACCAGATGCTCGTGGTTTGATTCCCAGTCAGGGTACAAGCCTGGGTTGCAGGCCAGTTCCCAGTAGGGGACTCATGAGAGGCAACCATACATCGATATTTTGCTCCCTCTCTCCTTCCCTTCCCCTCTAAAGATAAATAAATAACATATTTAAAAAGAATGCTTCCTCTTAATGTCTAAATCAAATTATCCCAAGTATAGAAATTCCCATGGAAACCTGTAGTGTTTGATCTTGATTATTAAAGAACTTGGCACTACTTTAGACATTTCTAGTTTGCCATGTACTGTCTCACTGTAATATGTGTTATTTACTTTTAAGCAATAACAAACCGGTGATGATCTAGAGGAAGAATCAGGAGGCCCTGTATCCCCTTCAAAGGTTGTCGGTACCCTTAGAAGACCTCTCCCTGGCACCAGGTAAGGGCTTTGAAGTTAGCTGAGATTGCTTGTTGGGTGTGGTAGCCCCTAGTTTTGCTCAGTGATTTCTCTGTCCCTGACACTTGAAAAGCTAAACTTTCTGCTCTCTGTGGTGGAGTGGAATCATGTTATTAGTTTGGGCCAATGAAGTATTTGAAATGGTACTTATTTCTAGACCAAAGTACCTACCTTTGATAATTTGGGGTGGTCACATACGTTAGCCTCATCTGACAAACATACCTGGGAAGGGCGAAAGGGTGCAGGTCCTGGGTGTCAAGAACCAAGTATCCATCTCAGAGACCTGCTTATACAGCCATACGATCTGCAGGTATCCAAGTCACCTACTGTCCTAAGATCGCCCGAGCCTCTGAGGCTGATTGGGAGCCATGTCCAGGGACAGATTACAGGCCAATAGCACTTTGATACTTTCAGAGAAAAAAATACAGAATTTTTCTGGGGCTGTCAGAAAACTGTAAAACATGTAAAACTTTTTTTTTTGTAAAACAGTGGACTCTTTCGCCTCATGTCCTCTTCCCTTAACTAATATTTAAGGTTTCTCATGCCTTTTCAAGCCCATAACTTTAAGGTTATTTGCCATATGTAGAATTTCTTGCTGCCATCTTGGGACACCTAATAGCCTCTTACTGGCAAGAGTCACCATCAAGATTTCCTTCAAAATGTCTCTTACTTGCTTATCTTCCATGGTGTCTGTGCCCACAGCAGGCTTGTACAATTTTTATGTGCTAGGGAGAAACACAGTTGCCCCACGGTTGACCTCTCCTGTTCTGTCACCATCATAGGGAAGTCAGTCTTTAATTGCATCTATCTTCATCCTCTTCTGGGCTGAGGAAACTCCGCTGTCATTCATTCCATCAGTTCCAGGGGACACTTACGAAACTCTGACTGGTCTGCCTGAGCCCCATTCATGGGCACATCTAACTTTATTTTCCTGTTTCTGAGGACATAGAAAGAGTAGATTTCCTAGTCTGCTTTGCAACTGGATTAAAGCTATGTGGCTGGGTTCTTGAAGTTTTGTTTGAAGAAATTTTAAACTGAAAAGAATAGATGCTACACTGATTATAGCAAAAAGGCTGAGGAAAAATTGATTGAAGTAATTCTGGACACTTCCAAGCTCCTTCCCTGAAAACTTCATGCTGCTTTTTTTAATCCCCCTTCCCTGATGGTGGTGATCTGAAGGGCTTGTGCTAAGCTGACGATTGCTGAGGATGGAAGAAATCCAGATCCTAATGTCTTCAGATGGAAGGGCTCCGCTACCAACGTACACTGGCTTTTTTTTGTAAGTCACAAAAACTTTGGATTTATCTTTCATGGCAAAAATGTTAGGACAGTGAACCTTTTCAATTTCAGTTTTCATGCTTTTGAGGTGCGTTTGGGCTTCAAGTTGCATAACTGTGACTGACCAACTGCTCTCACAGTTCTGCATGGTTAGTTTAGGTCCTCTCTCTGAAATGGAGGGACTCGGGCACAGATCGTTGTGTTCTCACTCTGTTGTGGCCTCATCCGCTTATACTTACTCATTTTCATGTCTAACATGATAATAATTTAGAATAGTCTTTGTAAAGTATTTTTTATACAAATGTCGTTTCTCTTTCTTTTCTTCCTTCAATATCCATCTTCTCCCTTTTCTTCTCTCTCTTTTCCTTCCTTCCTTCCTTCCTTCCTTCCTTCCTTCCTTCCTTCCTTCCTTCCTTCCTTCCTTCCTTCCTTCCTCCCTCCCTCCCTCCCTCCCTCCCTCCCTCCCTCCCTCCCTCCCTTCCTTCCTTCCTTCCTTCCTTCCTTCCTTCCTTCCTTCCTTCCTTCCTTCCTTCCTTCCTCCCTTCCTTCCATCTTGCCCTCTGTTTACTTTTTTTCTTTTGCCATTTAGTTTTTGCACACACAGTATCTTCTTTTTGGAACTTTATTTTTTCCTTTGTCTTCCTTTCACCTTGATAAACCTGACTCAGTCATCAGGAATCAGGTTAGAGGTTCAGTTTTCCTAGGAGGTCTCCTCTCTTCCCCCAAGACACATTTCTACCATATTCAGAATATGGCCTTTTGTAGGACTTCTCCTTGCTGTTAAGTCTTTCTATTTCACTTCTATCTCCCCTGCTAGAATTCTAGCTCTTTGAGGAAAGCAGCTCTACCTTCATTGCATTGTTAAGTTCTAGTATAAATGACTGGAACATAGTTGTCAAAAGTATTTGTTTAGAATGCAATAGGATATCTAGAAAGCCACAAGATTGCCAATTTCGTATAAATTTTGATGAGTACACTATGGCAATAAGACTTCAAGATTTGTGTTCATTTACACTGTAAAAAAATTTTGAGTTTTATATGAGGTCTGTCTGGAAAAAGTCCAGCCATTGTTAATGTAATGAGGATGGTTTGCGTGACATCAGTGTAACCTGGCAGCCAAGGAGAGTAGACTGGAATATGCATGTGTGAACAATGACTTCACTATACTAGTCAGTGGGGGTGTAGATGCTATTGAGTGATCATGTATACTGTGTGGCCATCCCATTCAAAAAGAGTAAGTGGAGCAATGAATCTGCATCAAATTTTGCATTAGGCTTGAACATTCCTCTGCAGAAACTATTCAGATGACTCAGAAGGCCACGCCTATAGTCAGCTGGTGATTGGCAGCTTCACCCCCAAAACATGCCTACTTATGTATGCATTGTGCCTGGTGCAGAGATTTTTGATGAAACATCAAATCACTCAGGTGATTCAGCCCCCCTACAGCCTTATTTGACACCCTGTGACTTCCGGTTTTCCCCAAAACTAAAACCACTTTTGAAAGGGAAGAGATTTCAGACTGTCGATGAGATTCAGGACAATATGACAGGACCACTGGTGGTGATTAGGGAACTTGTGAGGTCCCAAGGTGCCTACTTTGAAGGGAACTGAGGCTTCATTGCCCTGTGTACAATGTTTCTTGTATCTTCTTCAATAAATGTCTCCATTTTTCATATTACATGGCTGGATACCTTTTGGACAGACCTGGTACACTCTACAGATTTTAATGGTGATATCTGAAAGTTCTGGTGATGTATTAATATAGTTTTTAGGAATATAATTTATAGCACTAGTGAATATTGACATTGTAAAATGAAACCATTATATACTTTTTTGGAGCTATCAGTGAAACATAAATGTCATGGTGAATTGATGGCCCACTGTCATCCTTTTTAAAAAATACATGAATAAATCCAGTTGTTGAATTATAAAATTTACCTTTTTTTCTTTTTGCAATTATGTTTCCATTACTTTTCCATCAACATATTTTGTTATTTTAATGATTATGATGATTAAATGTGGGGTTAGTCTGTTATGATTAAATGTGGGGTTAGTCTGGATTTGCAGAAGACTATTCTGTACTATGATCTTTTACTTAAAATGCATAATTCATCTGTGCCTTTGCAGGGAGTTATGATTTACATGTGTCATTTCTGCCCATTCTCTACCTTTTAGATCTTAGTGGGATAGTGAGTGAGCAAAAAACAATTAAGAGAGTTTAAGGAACAATCAGAATTAGTGTCATGCAACAATTAAAAAAATAGAGTTCTCTCAATGTAATGAAACATAAACTGACCTGGTAACAAGAAAACTGGGAAGACCTAGGACTTAAAATAAGAACTATTTTAGTATCTCAGATTATACCATGCATATTTTAATGGAAGCAGTTGATAATTTGTTAATATTAACATGACTAAAATAGAATGAAAAGAAAAAGGAAGGAAATAAGTAACAAAATTTTAACAAATATCTTATTTCAGATATACTAGTGCACATTTTTTACATATAGTCTCCTCTATTCCATAAAGCAACACTAAGAACTATTTGTTATTACAACTTTGCATATGAATAACTTGAAATTTAGGGAAGTTAAATAAAACACATTACTCTATAGTCAATCAGATAAAAGTAATAGAGGCAAATTTCAAATTCCGGGTGGGTCTTAGTCCGCGGCCCTTGGTTTGCCCAATTATGCCTTATGTAACTGAATGCATACCTGATTTGAATGATGATTATTGCTAAAAGAATAAAGCTTGTCCATAATGTGAATATGCCATTAAACCAAGTACTCTGTCATAGGCAATGACCAACAGGATCTCAGACTCCGATGATGTATGTATATTCTGGGTGATAGAAGTGATTGGTAGTTTCACACTGGCAAGGCAGAGAAGTTGAGGAAAAAAATAATTTCAGACAAGGAAGTGTTAGAATCAGCAGGAGATGACACTTAAGAAAATATATACAGAAAACTTAAAGATGATAAAATTGCTAATCAGTCTTCGGTAAACTCAGCAGGCAAGAAGTTCCAAAGAACTGCTAATGAATTATTAAACTGAAACGTGGCCCTGGATTAAGATAAACAGGAGCTAGAAAATGACATCTAAACTATATGAAACAAATGTGACAATCAGCAACTTTGAAAATATTGTGAGGATGTTAATGGGGTGCTATTTGCTTCACATGTTTCTACATCAATTATGCATTTTAAAGTAAACTTAAAGAGGTTCCTAATTAGGCTCCTCGAGCAGCTGTCAGAGGAGTTTTTTCTTTATTTAGTACCATGCTTAGAGCCTGTGATAAAACATCCATGATTACAAATACCAAGTGAAAGAGCAGATGACTTGGGGATGGGCCCAAGACTCTGAGCACAGGTCAGGTAGCTTTTGAGTCATGGCGTCTAGATGATCTCAAACTGCTCCATTTGGAATTCTCTGGTATCTCATTCTCTTTTCTTTATCTACATATATGTGTGTATGTGTTGGCATATGATTCAGCTGTAAATGAGTCTATGAGCGTGAGATCATTAAATCATCCAGAAGGCTAATTATCTAATTATCATCCAGAAGGGAAGGAGAAGATGGAACCGCCCGGAACAGAGAGGTTGTGAGAGGCCATCCATCAACTCTGAATCTCAGTGCTGATTCAGAGAGCTAGCAGTCTTGAGAGCTAGACTTTGGAAAGAGAAAAAACTGTATCTCATTTACAAATTGCCCCTTAATTTATCAAAGGCCATAGTGCTGCAATCAGACCAAAGAGCTTGAGTTTGTACTCTGGGCTTGACAGAGTGATTGCAGGAGGTCGAAGAAGCCCTCCGAGAAGATGAGTATGGGAAAGACAGAAGGACAGGAGGTTAGAGGAGTCATCTGTGGGCTGGGTGGGCAGAAGGGGTGTTTTGGAAACACCTGGATATGTTTGGGGCAATATAAACTCCTGAGAGGTTGAGGGAGAATCCAAAGACATCTGGAATGGTACTCTGCTTGCTCATGCCACATTTGAAAGTGTGTCACCTGGCCAAACAGTATCTGAAGACAGAAGAGGTTTATAGATAAATGAATGGTTTTGATTTCCCACAACCTGTGGAGAATGTGAAGGAAATTCAGGATGCCTCACCTGGGGTGTAAGTGGTCAGACTCCTTGTGGATTGGTAAGGGCCTGGGGTCAGGACCCACAGGACACAGAAATGCAATGGTAGGGTCTACACTCAGCTAGTAGTACTGGTGGAAAGACACCTGGAGACTGGGGGGAGACCTCCAGTTTGGATGTCATTGTGGACGAGCTCACCCAAAGGACAGAGGGAGCAAAGACCTGGAAGGCTGCACATAAAACAGAGGCCCCGTTTATCACTATGATGAACATAATGGCTTGCTTTCAGGGAAGAAGATGCCATCTTGGTGAAATGAAGAAGCAAGAAAGGAGCTATGAAAGACTGAGCATCTCCCCCAAAGAGACCGAGGTTCTCTTAAGACTGTGACTTATTTTTAACTGGAAAGACCCAGTGGCCTTTCTGAGTCACCCTCCTAGAGCAGAATGAACTTAATTATAGAACATAAAGAAGTGCTCTTTGTTTGATTTTCATCCAAGAATGAAAATTCTTTCTCTCATGTAAAAGTCCAGAGGGATGTGAACAAGGACTGTCCCATCATGCCATGCTCCTCTAGCTTATTATTCTTTCATTTCTAGGTTGTCACCATTTTCCTCATGGTTCAAGATGGTGACATTTGCATTTCAAGGGGGAGGTTAGGGAAAGTAAAAAAAAAAAAAGAAAAAAATAAGCCCCCTATTTCTTTTATGGAAGATTCTTGGAAGCTGACCAGGGCACATGCACTCATATTTTGCTAGACAGATATTATTACCCTCATGGCCACATTTAGTTGCAAAGGATGTTGGGTCATACTGATTTTATTTCACGTGACTAGGTAAAAATTCTATGTATTTCAGAATTTGGGGAGAATTAGGACCTTGACCATGGAATGCTGGATGTAAGACAATATAGAGAGGAAG